GGTGGGGGGTTTGCGCTGGCCTGGGGCTTCCTGGTGAACCAGGCATGGAGCCCCTGGGGGCCTGTCCGGATGTGCCCCCCCTTAGCTGCTGGAGAGGGGGAAGCCAGCCGCTGCCCAGGATATGTCCCCAGGGAGACCGGGAGGGAGGGAGGGAGGGAGGGAGGAAGTCTGAGCCCTGCTTGCAGACTGACTCACAGCAGCCAGTGGAGAGCTTAGGTTTTAGGAGTTGGGGGCTCAGTGTGGTCTCTAGATCCGGGAGGTGGACTCTGCTCTTTGCTCCCTCTTGTGTCATCTCAGGAGCATCCCAGGGAGGGTCATGTTGTGGGCTGGGGTGCACAGAAGCTGGAGGCTCTCTTCATATCCCCAGGCAGCACAGGATTTGGGGAGACTCACTGGCAGGTATCCCTCTTTGGGGTACATCTTCTGCCACCCTTAACCATGGGGCAGGTGAAGGAAGCCCTGCTTGGGATAGGGAAGGTATTCACTCCAGAGGGGGGAGGTGCTCATCTCCTACTCTCCCTGAACCCACTTGGGGGCAGTCGCTGACTGGGGTGTCAGGCTGGGAGGCAGGGCAAAGGAAGACTGAGGACACTTCCTGTTCTGGCAGACTGGGCTGGCCTGATAAATGTCAACAGGGCACTAGGTGACCTGGGTTGGGGGCTGTTGGCTGCCAGGTCTTCTAGCCTTAGCCTCTCAAGGCCAAGCTGAGCCATACCCAAGTACAGCCCCCAGACTCTGCACTTTCTGTGGGCAAGGCTGTGAGAAGTACACTGGTTCTCTCAGCAGCCTGGAGCCAGACTGGAGGTCTCTCTGGAGGAGGCAGCTCTTGAAGGGTGGTATGGGGTTTCCTGCTCCATCTTCTTTGGATGGGACCTGCTCCTTTAACCTGCCTGATGGGTGAGCACTCCAAATAATGAGGCATCTTTTGCTCTCATTACATGGAAACAGGTAGGTTTGTGGGGTAGGGCTGAGCTGAGAGGCTGCTGAGCCCTGTCTGCAGTCATGGGTTGGGAGGGTGGGTCACAGGGCCCCATCCCCGGCTGTCTAGTACCCTGCCGTTCTTACTAACTTGGCAGGGCCTCAGTGTTCCTGGGCTGGCTGCAGCTCCCCCCACTAGCACTACCTGTCTGGGTTGCCTGTGGCAGGTTCTCTGGGACAGCTGGGTCCTGAGATATAGCCCTCACCTGCTGCTGGCAGGAGCTGACTACCCCCTGCCATGTTTGCTGCAGAGATTTGGGAGTATGGTGCTACGCACCCTAAGCCCAGCTCTTCTTCTCACCCTGGGGTCATCAGCCTGGGGATTTGGAGAAGACTGTTTTTCTAAAGCACAGGTTGGACAGGTTAGGTAGTATACCCTCTGTGGGGAAGATGGCTCTGAAAAGATAGCATTCCCTGAGGTCCCACTGACAAAGAACCTAGCATAGACTAAGCCTGGGGGCACCTAGGTTCAGTTAAAATGGCAGTTTCTTCCTTACAGCTTGTGTGCCCTGTCCCAGGGTTGCCACAAGCTGAGCAATTGCTCCTCATCTTCTAACACATAGTAAGTGTTCAGTAATGCATGGCCCAGGCACCAGAGGGGCCCACTGTTCTGCTGCCTCATCTCACCCCGCCCCCCTGGCCAGCACACTTCACTGGCACAGTCCCCTGGCAACTAAGCCTGCTGCTGACATCCTGGCTGGTGATCTATCCTGGAGTCACCTCGCCCTGGGATGGCCTTTATTCCATTCCCCACGCCACCCATGAGGCTTGGGCTTGGTTGGTGGCCTGCTTCCTTGCCTGTTGCTCTATCAGTAATCAGTAGCATCAGCCATTCTCTTCTCTGGCCTGTGCCATGCCCCTATAGACACTTTGATCAGAATAGGGTCCCAGAGGTACACTTAGAGTCCCATGTGGAGTTGGGAGTGTGATCTGAGACTGCCTTGCCCACCCTAAGAGGTACCTGGGGCGCACCTGCTCTGAGTTGGCCCTAGAAGCAAGCAGGCACACTACAGGATGGTATGCAGTGTCACTCTCTTTTAGCCCATGCTTGTGAACAGGCTAGCTGGGATCTGTTTCCACCACCTCCTGTGTCTTGATTTCCCCATCTTTAAAAATATTTTATTATTTTTATTTTTATGAGTATATTTCCTTCATGTAAGTGCACCTGTGCCACAGAATGTCTGTGGAGGTCAGAGGAGGGCATCGGATTCCTCCAGAACTGGAATTACAAATGGTTGTAAGCTGCCGTGTGGGTGCCATATGGGTGCCGGGATTCAAACCTGGATCCTTTGCAACAGTAACCAGTGCTCTTAACTGCTGAGCCACCTCTCCAGCCTGTTTTCCCCATCTTTAACCTGGACCTAAGGACGGCACCCTTCCAGTGGGAATTTAGGGAGCCTGGAGTGGGATCATTTATTTTACTGTAAGTGGCTGCACTTTCTAATCAGTTGGCAGGTTTGGCCTTCCAAATCTGGCCAAGTGATTTCCAACTCCAGCAGGAGCTGAGCAAGTGTCCCCTGGGTCTGTCATTCATGCAGTAAGCACTCTCTAGTAGGGCAGTTAGTTCCTGGGGTGCATTTGGGTTCAGATCAGGTATTTTGGGGTGCCTTTCGTGAGCTCTCTACTCATACAGGGTGACCTTCTTACTATACTTCAGCCTTGTACCCTAGGGTTTTGTGAGGCCAAGAGTTGTCAGAACAATGCCTATGGTGGTGGGTACACAGCCAGTGTCACCTACGTAAGGGGTGTTGGAGTGGGGTGCCTAGCTGGGCTTGGTTAATAGGGTGCCTGGAAGGTCCTGGCTCAGAGGAATCTATGCAGTGGGGCATTGGGGGTAGCAAATTGGTGGAAATTAAAGTTTAGACAGGTGTGGTCAGGTGTCAGTGGCTACAGACAAATACCAAGTCCCTTTTGTAGTGAGCCCTGGGAGGATGGGGCTTTTTTAAAAGAACAAAAGTCCCAGCCCTCGGGAGGCAGAGGCAGGCGGATCCCTGTGAGTTCAAGACCAGCCTGGTCTACATAGTGAGTTCCACGCTAGCTAAAGCTACAGAGAGACCCTGTCTCAAAAAAAAAAGAAAAAGAATGCAGGTCTTAACAAGTTGTGGTGGCACATGCCTTTAATCCTAGCACTTGGGAGGCAGAGGCAGGCAGAGCTCTGAGTTCAAGGACAGCCTGGTGAGTTCCAGGCCAGCTGGGGCTACAGGGAGACCCTGTTTCAAAAAGACAAAAACAAAAAAACAACAGTGCTGGTCTCATGTAGCTTTGCTATGTAGCCAAGGATGACCTTGAACTCTTGATCTTCCTGCTTCCACCTGGGGTTACAGGCATATGTCACCATGCCAGCTGAGGGTGAGAGTTTTAAATATCTTTCCTGTTTACTGTTGTATCCCCAGGACTCAATACAGTGCATGTTACTCAGCAGGCCCTTGGTATACTGAGGGGAGTGAATGAGGGAAATCCATGGCAGCCGGCCATGACAGGCACGCCTGGATGGTGCTTTTGATTCAGGGTGTGCTGTAGGGATATCTGTGTCCCACTTCTCATCCCTTGCCCTGCCTTAGGAGCAACACCAATTACTAACTGCACCAAGTTCAGTGCTGGTTTGACTGTCTTGTGCCTATGTCTGTCTGAGTCCTCCATCAGGCCAGATCAGTTGCACCCTTGAGTCTGGTCAATGTGGTCTGTGTATGGAGATGTCAGCACACTGTCATGGTAACATTTAAATTAGGATGGCAGCCAGCCCACACTGAGTTTTTCTAAGGTTCTGAGAGTCTTTAAGTCTTTGAGTGAGGCAGGCAAGAATGGAGTTATCCCTTGACAGATGGGAAACTGAGGCAGAGAACAATGAAGGAAGTCAACTAGTGAGAGGAGGAATTGGGATTTGAACACAGGCTCAGACTCTGTGTTCCTAACCATGTTTTTTTTTGTTTGTTTCTTTGAGATGGGGTCTCCCTGAAGCCCCAGCTGGCCTGGAACTATGTAGACCACTTTGGCCTTGAACTCACAAAGATCTGCCTGCCTCTGCCTTCTGAGTGAGTGCTGGGATTAAAGGCATGTGCTACCATGCCTGGCCTTAACCATGTTTTCTAGAGGGAGTAACCATCTACTTCAGTTACTCGCCCCTGCACCCCAAATCTGGTTCCCTGAGAGTTTCCACTGTTTCAGGATGGGTCTGTCTCTGGTCAGGCCTTTGTTGGCCACCATTAAATGTGTTATTGTGCATATAAAAACTGTGGCTCGCCGGGCATGGTGGCACACGCCTTTAATCCCAGCACTCAGGAGGCAGAGGCAGGCGGATCTCTGTGAGTTCAAGGCCAGCCTGGTCTACATAGTGAGTTCCAGGACAGCTGGGGCTACAGGGAGACCCTGTTTCAAAAAGACCAAAAAAACAAAACAAAACAAAAAAACCTGTAGCACGATGAAAACAATTGCAGTTTGTGTGTGTTTACGTGAATAGGGTCATAGATACTGGAATGCTGCGTGGTTTGACTTCCAGGTGAAGTGTGTGCCTTGGAGCTTCCTGAAGGAGGTGGTAGATTGACTCTGCCACCTTCATAGGACAGAAGCACCAGCCCTCACCTCGCCTACTTTGCCTGCTAGGTGTCTGGGTTATCACCAGTGTAGCAGGGGAAACATATATGAGCATATGAGCAAGTGCTTATCCTAAATACCTTTATTTTATGTGTATGCATGTATTGCCTGCATGTAGGTAAGTGCACCCGTGTCCTGCAATGCCCGTGGAAGTCAGAAGAGGCTGTCAGATCCCCTGGGACTGGAGTTACAGTTGTTAGCTGCCATGTGGGTGCTGGGATTCGAACCTGGGTCTTCTTCAAGAACAACCAGTGTTCTTAACTGTTGAGCCATCTCTCCAGACCCCTAAATACTTTTGAAAGTGGGAAATGGGTCCAAAATTGATCTTGCCAAATTGTTGTCCAAAGAAGTTGTACCCCTTCATGCTCTAAGGTAGTGGACTGCCTGGTTCCTAGTCTTCACTAGCACTGGATATTATTGCTCGATTTTTGACCTTTGATACACTCTGGGTATATCTCCTAGTGGTTGGTTGAAGAACAGCAGTCCCCCATCTCCTAGGTTTCGTTCCATGTGGTCAACCAGGGTCCGAAATATTAAATGGAAAATTCCAGAAGATCTCCATGCCTTACTCTGGGTGGTTCTGGGCTCTCCTACCCTCTGCAGAGGCGATCTCCTGTTGCCACCCTATCCACCCATACAGTATCCAGGCTTTCTGTGCTGCCCGCCTGCTATTTCCCGAGTGTGGGTAGACCCTGTGTCTCCCGTGGAGATGGGGGTGTCCTGCACCTGCTCACTCCTCCTCTGCCCCTGTCTTTCAGCCCAGCCGCCCCTCCTCGCTCTCCGCCATGAACGGGCCCACGGTGCAGACCCCTGCCTCCTGCGCGTCGTCGGCGCCCGCCTCGCCTACCTCCCCACGAGGCTGGAGCGATTTCTGCGAGTTGCATGCAGCTGCCGCAGCGCGGGAGCTGGCTCACCAGTACTGGCTGTTCGCGCGTGCGCACCCGCAACCACCACGCGCGGAGCTCGTGTCGCTGCAGTTCGCGGAGCTCTTCCAGCGCCACTTCGTCCGAGAGGTGCGCGAGGGTCGGGCCGCGCCACCGGGCCGCGACTACCGCGACACGGGCCCCCGGGAAACAGGCCCCGTGCTGCCCAAGGCCCGTAGTTCCGAGGAGCTTGGCCCGCGGCCTGCCTGCGCCCTGCAGCACCTGCGCCGCGGCCTGCGGCAACTCTTCCGCCGCCGGTCTGCCGGGGAGCTGCCAACCTCCGGCACTGCCACCTGTGCCCCTGCCACCGCCTCCGCCGCGGACGTGTCCGATGCCCCCGCCAGGCCCGGCCTGGCCCGCAAGCTGCTGCCCTGGAGCCTGGCCCGGGAGCCGCCGGCTGAGGCCCTCAAGGAGGCAGCGCTGCACTACAGCCTGGCAGACGAGGTGGCCATGGACAGCGGCGCGCGCTGGCAGCGGGGCCGCCTGGCGCTGCGAGCCTTGGGCCCCGGCCACGACCGCCTGCTGGAGCTCTTCGACCCGCCCAAGGTAAACACCCGGGGGCCAGGCCCTGCAGATGGCGGTGTGGGGACCACAGCGTCCAGATGGAAGCGAACGGGTTTAGATGACCAGAAGAGAGGTGCGAAGCGGGAAGTACCTTCGTACTCTGCAGCAGCCTGGCTCCCAGCTTCTGAGCGCTTGGCATCGCTGGGCCTGATCTGACACCCTGTTAACTGCTGTCTCTGAGGGTGCTGGCATTTCTCCTGCACCCCTTTATGTTCCCACCAAATCAGGTTCTGGCCAGGGCACTTTGTGACAACCTTAACTATTTTAGATGGACCAGTGATTGTGTAGAGCCTAGGGACCCCTTTGGTTTCCGTTCACACGTGTCATGTGGGTTAGAGCAGGTTGATTCCAAGTTCTTGAAAGTCTGCATCTGGCGAGCAGTGACACATAGCTTTATTTTCAAGACTCCCAAATTGCTGGGTTTCTTAACATCCTACTTTGGCCATTCTGGAGTTTTCTTGTTTAAGACTTGTCCCTGCTCATGATACTGGGCTTCATTCCTAGGGGATCTGTGCCCCAGGCCAGCACTGAAACCTATCTGCATGGGGTTGTGTGAAGCCAGGCAGTCTACCTAGTTCATTTCCTTCCTGTGCTTTGTGGTCCCATTCGGTGTGAAAGCCTGGCTGTAGGGTGGCAGTGACATGAGACCAGCCCTGAAGTGCTCTTGGTCTGGGTGGTGCAGATGGTCACTGGACATTTATTGAACACCTACTGTGTATCAGGCACACATTAGGGATGGGTAACTGCTATTCTAGATGGAGCTGGGGAAGGAACAAGGCTCCTAATGAGCATGGATTTCCAGACTGTCACATTGTAAAGGAAAGATAATGAGGGTAACACAGGGGCTTATAAGAGTTCTCTCTACAAGTGACCTTACTAAATGTCAGTTTGGTGTCATGCATCCCTGAAGCTCTGAGTTTCCATGTGTGCCTCCAAGTGACACCTCCCACATTCAAGCCCTCTACATTTCCCCATTCAACATCCCAACCCACCTCCAGTCCTCTGTCTCCACAGCTTGGATGTCTGGTATGGTTTTGTTTTTAAAAACTTTTTTATATGTACGTATGTATGTATACCTGAATCTATGTGTACCACATGCATGCAGATGCCCTTGGAGGTCAGAAGAGGGCATCAGGTCTTCTGAAACTGTGGTTGTGAGCTGCCTGATGTGAGTGCTGGAAATTAAACTCCAATCCTACAAGAGAAACAAGCACTCTTAACCGCTGAGCCATCTCTCCAGCCCCTGGTTTTCTTTTTGAGAAGTCTTTTTAACCTAGTCTCACTTTAACCTAGTTGGTAGCTGAGGATGACCTTGAATTTTTTATCCTTCTGCCTCCACTTCCAGAGCACTGGAATTACAGGTATGAGGTACTGGGAAGTGAACCCAGGGCTTCATGTATGTTAGGCAAGTGAATGACATGCTGAGTCCCAGTAATTTGTTCTTGAACATGTGAATTAACACTTTTGGTAGGCTCCTTGTGCTCACATCATGTTTTGATTCATCAATGCTTTTGCAGTGTCAAGTGCCAGTCTGTGAGGTGACTCCTTACAGTTGCTTTATTTGATGGCCTGCAGATTATTTGGTGGTTTCTATTTTGGTGTTTTGGTTTTTTTTTTCTGTCTTTTTGAGACAGGGTCTCCCTATAGCCCCAGCTGTACTCATATGCACGCACACACACAAATTTTTTTTAATGTTTTTATGTGTATGAGTGTATTGTCTGCATGTATCTAAGTGCACCCATGTCGTGCAATGCCCACGGAAGGTCAAAAGGTGGTGTTGGAGCCCCTGAAACTGGACTTATGGATGGTAGTCAGCCACTAGGGGGATGCTGGGAATTGAACCCATGTCCTCTGCAGGAGCAGTCCTCTTCACTGCTGAGCCATCTCTCCAGCCCCTTAAAAAACCGTAAAAAATAGCTTTTCTAGCCAGGCATGGTGGCTCAAGCCTTTAACCCCAGCACTTGAGAGGCAGAGGCAGGCGGCTGTTTGTGAGTTCAAGGCCAGCCTGGTTTACATAGTGCGTTCCAGGCCAGCAGCTGGGGCTACAGGGAGACCCCATCTCACAAAGATTTAAAAAAAAAAAAAAAGGCAGCAGCCGGGCGTAGTGGCACACGCCTTTAATCCCAGCACTCGGGAGGCACAGGCAGGCAGATCTCTGTGAGTTCAAGGCCAGCCTGGTCTACATAGTGAGTTCCAGGACAGCTGGGGCTACAGGGAGATCCTGTCTCAAAAAGACCAAAAAAAAAAAAAAAAAAAAAGCTATAGCAGGTGATCAGTGGACACAGGTCGCTGTGGGGGAGGAAGTCTGGGTAGTAGAGACTGGGACTGAGGACAGTTGCATTTTCCACCAGTGTTCCAGTTAGAGGTACCATTGAGGCTGCATAGGAGTCCTCCAGCATTGTGCCTCCCAAAAAGCCCAGGCCTAATGACTGCCATGGAGTCTGGGGTGTCTCCACATGGGGAGTGGCCTGGTAGCCTTTCCCAGCCTGCAGAGCAACAGGTTATGCCAGGCTTGGTCCTGATACCTTGGCGAGATGGAGGGCCCAGTGCCACCACTCCCCATGGCTTCCAGAGTGTCAGGAGCAGGAGGGATTCTGGGTGTCATCTTTGGAGTGAACCTGCCTGGTACTCAGCCCTCACCTCTGACCTAGATCAGGCTGGGGGAGGTGCTACACACAGAAGGAAAATCTGCCAGTGGGTTAAAAAAATCCAGCAAGGAAGGGCTGGAGCTGCATCTGAACACTGGTCCCCTGGAGTTTCATGGGAACAGGACTGGTGGGAGGATTGTGGAGCTAGAACAGCAAGAGGCTCAGCAGGCCATTCCTGCTGTGACCAGACTTGGTTCAGTGTCTCCTAGTGCTAGATCCCTGCTACCTCTTGTCGGCCAGCTGTGACCTCCCACTTCTCAATTCAGTGCTTGTCATTCTCATGTGTGAAAGAAAGGAGGATTGCTGTGTGGGCTGCCACAGGAGATGTGCAAAGGATGCGGCCTCTATGGGTGTTGGAGAGAGACTGATAGGAACAAATAAGGCTGGCTGTTGGCCAAGGTCAGGAATGAAGTCTTCTGATTTCAGTGGTGATCCTGCAGGCTGCCAGGAGGCCCCTTCCCATAAGTGCTAGGTCTTGGTGACCCCCTGGGATATGACCAGGAAAAATTCAGCAGCAAGTGCTGATCCTGAGAGATTTGTATGAACAAGGCCCTAGCTGAGGAGTGGTAGGCCCAAAGGCCCTGAGTGGGCGAGAACCAGGCAAATGTGAGAGACAGCTAGGCTGTCAGAGGCAGAGGGAACAGGAAGGGATGGGATAGGAAAGGTGGGGAGGTCTTACAGCTGCAAAGAGAACCCAGTTAGGGGTGTGAGCCAGAAGATCCAGAGTCTGGGCTTAACAGTGGTCTGGAGGAACTTCCCAGAATTCCCTATAGCTTCCCAAGATCACCTTACCTCTCCTGGGAAAGCCAGGTATTCATGCCCACCTGCTGGACAGGGTTGGGTACCTTGACTGCCCCCATGCCAGCCCTAACTTGAGCCTGGGGATGTTGTGGTGGGGCTCACTGTCCCCTTGGAAACATGGGGAAGGAGAGGCCATGGACAAGGCTCATCAGGGCTCTGACCCCTGGTCCCAGAGGCCAGTCATAAGCAACCCACCTTACTATGAGTCAAGGATGGTGGGCAACAGGAATGTGAACAGACTGGATGTGTCATCCAGGGGTCCTGTGTCAGGCTTCTCTAATGGTGACAGGGACAGCTTCCTGCCTCATCTGGTTTTGGGGTGTTGCCAGGGACATAGGGCTAATTCAGATGCAGTGGATGTCCCTGACCTCAGTGTCGGGGGGGGGGCAGTTTGGAAGCAGACCCTGAGCTCACCAGGGATGGCAGGTGACATGTTCAGATGTGAGTGGTCTGCATACTGGTCCTCTGCTGAAGTTGGCCTTCTTGTTCTTTGCAGAAGCCCTGTAAAGGCAGTTGCTGTTACTCTACATTCCACAGACTCCAGGGCTGGGATATGGGTGAATAGGTAGGGATTGGAACTGGACAGCTGAGCTGAATTAGGTTCTGTTTCTGTTGTCAAATAACCATGGCCCTTCCCTGCTGAGGCAAATGTGGACAGGAAGGACTCCTGCAATCACTGTCCAGGCCTGCTGAGGTCCCAAGGAGCTGACTAAGGGTCCCTTACTTAGCTCACCCCATACATGGCCTGCAGGACCTAGCTGGGGAGGAAGGAGTCAGGGCTCCCTGGAAGTGCTGAGTGGAGCGCCTCCTATTGATGGGTGGCTTGGCTCCCACCCATGGGCATGTGACGTGTAGGTAGGTAGTCCCATCATTTCATCCCAGCCAGTCTGCAGTGTGGTCAGCATTGGGTGTCTTGTGAACGTGACCATGAGGCCTGTGGTGGGTACTTCAGAAGCCAGGGTGGTAAAGGGAAGAGAGCCCTGCATCTTATAAGCATAAGGACAGAGGCTGGGAGGCCCAAGGGCTCAGGGACCTGGCCTCCCTGCCGTGTGGGAAAGAGGAAGCAGAAAGAAAGGGCCAGCCACTGCCGGTCTGGTGGTTTCCTCTGGGCTGGGGAGGAGGTGGCAGGAAGCCCTGCCTGGTTCTAGGCACCGTACCCTTCCCCCCAAACTGTGGGAAAGGCACTTGACCCTTGGAAGATGGGTAGGGCTGCTGTTCCTGATGCCCAGAGCGCTCTAATTTGGAGCACCATAGCTGTCCAAGCCAAGGAGTCCTCACAATCCCTGTGAGGGGCCCCTAGATGAGGAGATGGGCACAAGGCCACACCATCCAGAGGTAGAAGAGGCAGAAATAGGGTCTTGTGTAGGCAAAAGGTGTAGGGGGCACTAGGACCCAGGGTAGTGTTGAGATCCCTAAAATCAGAGACCAAGCCTTGCCTGCAGTCTCATGGCCTACATGACATCCAGGCATCACAGAGGGCAGCCAGTGCTTACCAGGCCCACCCACCTTGGGCAGACCAGCCAGAGGCTGCTA